GGTCCAGGTAAGAAGGCCCAGGGCAAAAGGGAGGGCGAGATTTAAGTGTTCAGAAGTCAAACATTAAATATGTGGATCTTGGCAACTCGATACAAGAACAAGCATGGGTAAGAAAAATACACATTCCCACTGGCTTGCTTTTACATAAAGAAACACTAACAGGATGGTGAAGCAGTGATCAACACTGATCACGGGAGGGAGGCAGGAGTTAGAGCAGAGGAGTGGGGCAGGAGGTACAGTCAGGGAGTCTCCTTAAGGCAGTTTCCTCTCAGGAATATTTTTAACTTTCCCATGCATTATTTATTTAAAATAAGTGAGCAATTTATATACATCATATTTTTCTATACTTGATCACTATTTTTAATTATGTTTAGTTTTTAAAAATTAATTTAAACAATTCCACATAGGAAACCATTTCAAGATTTTCTTTTTTCTGCTTTTTCTCCCCAAATCCCCCAAGTACAAGTTGTATATTTTAGTTATGGGTCCTTCTAGTTGTGGCATATGGGACGCCACCTCAGCATGGCCTGCAAGATTTAATCCTTTAAGCACTGATGGACATAAAACCGTAAACCATAAAAAATTTACAATCCCTTTCTAACAAAAAGGACAAGGGGCATCACAGTTTACCCCTCAACTAAATTCACACACTGGGGATACTTTCAGGAAGTAGTAGCATATTATACCACATTAGGGGTTTGCAATTAAGGCGTGCAATAAACTAGGAATTCCAAAGATTTACATAAGGTTTGACCTGTTTCATCAAATCAATGAAGATAGAAATTCAAGTGCTTTTTCCTCACATCCATCAAAATAGGCACTCATTTGCCTTAGGAATAGTATAGCCTTTTATTTTTTTAATTTACTTTTATTTTTTTTAGGAAGATTAGCCCTGAGCTAGTATCTGCTGCCAATCCTCCTCTTTTTGCTGAGGAAGACTGGCCCTGAGCTAACATCCTTGCCCTTCTTTCTCTACTTTATGTGTGGGACGCCTACCACAGCACGGCTTTTGCCAAGCGGTGCCATGTCCGCACCTGGGATCCGAACCAGTGAACCCCGGGCCGCCAAAGCGGAAAATGTGCACTTAACCTCTGCGCCACCAGGCCAGCCCCCTAGTACAGCCTTTTAAAGATCAAAGTTCTCTAGGGACATGGACACACAAAAACTGACCCAAAACTTTACAAAGCACCTGAGCACTTAAATACACTCATCTTACACCTCTAGGTTCTAGTGCCTAAATGGAACAAAAATTCTATTTGGCTCCACTACTTTCTTGCCCTATTCCCATCTCTCTCAATCAACTTACATTTTATAACCCCAAGCGCTAATGGAAACTAGAATCAAAGGGCAGCTATTGTCAATGGATAAAGAAATCCAAGGACAGAAACGCAAACATTCAAATCTGCTAACAGAAGCAGCCTGCCTGCCTACAGAGCAGAAGGACAAACTCACCCTCAGAAAGTTGACCACATTCCCAAACTTCGGGTCTGAACACTCCTGATTGAGCTGTAACCCCTAGCGTGGCCCTTGATTAGAAATGTACACTTAACTGTGACCTCATCATCTGGAATAAAGAGTCAGGCTCCATTTTTTAACCTTTGAATCTTCCTAGCCATCAGCCTTGCACTCATCCCGTCCCCATCTCCACTTATTTTGTGCTTAAGATAAAGAATCCCAGGGCTCTTGGCTCTGGTGCAAAGTTTGCATCCCACAGCCGTAGCCAGGGCTCAGAGACTCTTAGTCTGACCACAGGGTGTGACATGTGCTCATTAAAGACTCAGGTTACACACTGAACTGGAAGGGAATTAATTTTAGATCAGTTTTTGCCTGTGTCCCTAGAGAGCTTTCAACCATTAATACCTATAATATCCGCATCTAAGGAAACTGATCTCTATTTTCACTGTTATAAGAAAAACAATACATCATTATGTAAATGGGGGATGTGCCTGGAAACTGTTCCCTCACCCCCCAGCTTTATTGAGGGATAACTGACTATTAAAATTGTATATGTTACAAGATTACGACGTGATTAGATATACATATACAATCTGTATACTTGAAACTCGATAAGACAGTGGACGGATTAAGCGTTCTCACAACACACACACAGAACTTATCTCACTTTTTGATTCTAGCCATACTAGTGGTTGGGAAGTGGTCTCTCACTGGGGTGATTAGCATGTCCTTGATTACTAATGATGTCCAGTATCTTTTCATGTGCTCTTGACCTTTCGTCTATCTTCCTTGGAATACAGTATACTCAGATCCTTGCCATGTTTAAATTGAGTTATTTAACTTTCCACAATTAAGTTTTAAGAATTCTTTAGATTTATTTGATGCAAGGTCCTTATCAGGTATATGATTTGCAAAAATTTCTCTCATTCTGTCAGTTGTTTTCACTCTCGCTTTAAAAATTTTTACTTTTAATTGTGGTATTACACACACACCATAAAATTTACATTTTCACCATTTTCTAAGTGTATAGTTCAGTTATAGCACAAGTCAGAATTTGCTTTCTTTTTAAAACTGAATAATATGCCACTGCGTGTACGTGCCAAATTGTTTTCATCCATTCAAGTCTTGACGCGCGCTTCATTTTCCTCCACCTTTTGGCTATCATGAATAATGCTAACGTAAACACGAGTGGACATGTACCTGCTTAAGTTCCTGCTTTCAACTCTATTTAAGTTCCCAGAAGTAGAATTGCTAGTTCAGATGGTAACTCATAAATTATAAACACATTTTTGGCAAAACCATCATGCTGTATTTCATACTCCCAACAAAATATTATGCTCCTAGCGATAGTGCACATGGATTCTGAAGGCTGTTTTCACTGTCTTGATAGTGTCCTTTTGAACCACAAAAGTCACTAATATTATGAAAACCAAATTACCTAATTTTTTTCCATTTTTGCTCTTGGGGCCTTATCTAACAACTCTTTGTCAAATCCAAGGTCTGGAATTTTTCCCTATGTTTTATCTAAGTGTGTTACAATTTACTGTTTTTTTTGAAGATTAGCCTGAGCTACCTGCTGCCAATCCTCCTCTTTTTTTTGCTGAGGAAGACTGGCCCTCAGCTAATATCCATGCCCACCTTCCTCTACTGTCTATGTGGGATGCCTACCACAACATGGCGTGCCAGGCAGTGCCATATCCACACCCGGGATCCGAACTGGCGAACCCTGGGCTGCTGATGCGGAACGCACGAACTTAACTGCTGTGCCACTGGGCTGGCCCACGGTTTACTCTTACGTTTAGGTATTTTCTCTTTCTGGTAAATATGAGGTGTCATGTAAGGATAAACCTCTTTCTTTTGCATATGGCTATCCAGTTGGCCCACCACCAAGATATGGAAAGGTATTCTTGCCCCATACTTGACATTTGGCAATTTTTGGAAATATTAGTTGACCACAGATGTGTGGGTTTATTTCTCAAATCTCAATCTATTCCACAGATCTGTATGTCTATCTTTGCGTCAATACCACACACTCTTGATTACCATTGCATATTGCATATTCTGAACATGGGAAATGTTAGTCCTACCACCTTCCATTTTTCTTTTTCAAGATTGCATTTGCTTCTCTGGTTGCCTTGCAGTTCCACATAACTTTATGAAAGAGCTTCACAATTTGTATAAAGGAATAAGCTGGGATCATGACAGGTATGTGCAGAATCTCAGACCATTTGGGGAAGAATTTTAAGTCTTCAGATTCATGAAACTAGGATGTTTTCCCATTTATTTATACATTTTTCATTTCTTTTCACCATATTTTGCAGTTTTCTGAGTATTCATTTTCTATTTCTTTTACTAAACTTATTCCTAAGTATTTTATTCCTCTTGGTTTTATTGTCAATGCATTTCTTAATTTCATTATCAGATTGTTCATCATATGTGTATGAAAATACAACTGATTTTTATGTTTTGGTCATAACTATCAATTCTAATAATTTTTTTTAGTGGATTCCTTAGTTTTCTTTTTTTTCTTCTCCACAAAGCCCCAGTACATAGTTGTATATCCTAGTTGGAGGTCACTCTAGTTCTGCTATGTGGGACGCCACCACAGCACGCCTTGATGAGCAATGCTAGGTCTGCACCCAGGATCAGAACCAGCGAAACCCTGGGCCGCTGAAGCAGAGTGTATGAACTTAACCACTCAGCCATGGGGCCAGCCCCAGAAATACCTTTTTTTTTTTTTAATGATTTTATTTTTTTCCTTTTTCTCCCCAAAGCCCCCCCGGAACATAGTTGTATATTCTTCGTTGTGGGTCCTTCTAGTTGTGGTATATGGGATGCCGCCTCAGCGTGGTTTGATGAGGAGTGCCATGTCTGCAGCCAGGATTCGAAGCAACGAAGCACTGGGCCGCCTGCAGCAGAGCGCGCAAACTTAAGCACTCGGCCACGGGGCCAGCCCCAATACCTCTTTTTAATATAGATGAAAAAACCTCTACAAAATACTAGCACACGTAATCCAGCAAAATATAAAGTGACCTAATCACCATGACCACATGGGATTTAACCCAGGAGAGAAATGTTGGTTTTACATCTGAAAATGAACATAAGGAACCATTAACAGAATAAGTGTCAAAAACTACTGATCATCTCAACAGGTACAAACAAGCATTAGACCAAGTTCAACAGCCCTTCACAAGGGAAACACTCAGGAAACTAGGAGAACCTCCCTCAGTCAACTCCCTCACCCTGAAATAAAGCATCAGTGAAGAACCCACAGCTGGCGTCACTCTTGATGGTGAAGGACTGTGGGCTTTCTCTCTCAGATCAGAGAGAAGACACAGATGTCTGCTCTCACCAGCTCCACCCACCGTGGTGAGAAAGGCGCTACCAGAGCAATTAGGCAAGAACATGGGAAAAATCAACCACTCCAGAATTCAAAGGACAGACACACAAAGCTCCACAGACAGACAAGCAAAATCACACAGACTTTGTCATGGCACACAGAGAACATACACACACACACACTCATAAGGAAACCTTACACAAACCTCATCACAGGCCCAGGTCTTCACAAAGTGCGCTGTTCTCACTCCATCCCACCTGGTAGTGGGGTGTCTCCTGGCTCCCAAACCAAACCCCAAAGAGGGGGTCTCAGCCCCTCCAGATGGGGAAGGGATTTCACCCTTCTTCACACCACACAGTACAAACAGGACATCTCTACAAAAAAACACAAAATGGGAGACTGGATGGCAGGGTCAGGGCCAAAATGGCTGGAGTCATGATGTTCCAGCCCTTCTCACTGCTATAGATGCATCCAGAAACCCCCTCATCATGAATTGTCCCTTTGTTACTTTGCTTTTCTGTTGTGAGTGCAGTGAGGGGGCCAAAGGTGAGCATCTCCTCGCTCAGCCCCCACGTCCCCTGCTGCAGGCTCCCTGGGAAACATCAGCTGTGCTGTGGACTCACATTCCCACAGACCTCACTCCGTCCTCCCACGGTGGCTCCACCATCTTCACTGAACACTTTCTCCTCAGGATCAGCGTCTGATTTGTACCCTTGAGATTTTAATTTATAGATGTAAGTGACAACATGGACAGGCCAATGTCATTGAAAGAACTTTATTACTTACATTTCCCAAGACAAGGGGGATGCCATGCCAGGCAGGGTCACAGGGGCTGCATCAGGGTTGCTCAGGAGGCAGAATCAGGAGGGGGACACAAACCTAGGCCACAGCCTTCATTTGGGTCCCACAGGAAATGTGAGTCAGGGCAGAGTGAGCAGCTCAGGACTGGCTGCTTTGAACAATCCCAGCAGCCTCTGGGGCCTAGGGACGGTCCTCAGTCATCTGGTTCCTGGCCCTGGGTGGGTTTAGGGTGGGGAATACCGTCTGGCGTGTGAGAGGCAGATAAGGAGGTCTGTAGGGACAGGGCACTGGATCGGGCGGGATGCACATGAGAGGCCTGCTCCAGACAAGCCGTCCACCGCCAACGTGGAATGAAGTGCCCCTGGGAGGGGCAGGGTCTCCCTATGTCTGAGAGGCCCCCCTGAGAAGTCAAAACATCTGAAGAGACAGAAAATAAAACATACGAGGGGCCGGCCCCATGTCCGAGTGGTTAAGTTCACATGCTCTACTTCTGTGGCCCGGGGTTTCACCCGTTCAAATCCTGGGCACGTACATGGCACTGCTCATCAAGCCACACTGAGGCGGCATCCCACATGCCACAACTGGAAGGACCCACAACTAAAAATACACAACTATGTACCAGGGGGCTTTGGGAGAAAAAGGAAAAATAAAATCTTTTAAAAAATAAAAATAAAAATAAAACACGAGTAATACAATCAGAAAGAAGACAAGGATTTGTCTGCTCACGTTAGTTCAATGCAACATGGTGAGGGAGATGCTAGCAGGGTAGTTGGGCACCAAATGACATAACAGCACTCCAGATTTTAAGGACATACAGACACAGCCCCCCAGACAGACAGACAAAATCACACAGGCTTTCTCACTGGACACACATATGCACACACCCACACACAGATACACAAAGTCACAGACCCTCAGAGATAATGGCCCAGAGACACACAGCCCACGATGAGAGTGAGGGCCCATGATGGCTGCAGTGATCACGGTGTTCCAGCCCCTTATGCTGCTGTGATCCCCTCCAGAAATGCACCCCTCACCACGTGCCCCTTCCTCACTTTGCTTTCCCAGTGCAAGCTCAGTGCCGGCAACAAAGCTCTGTGCGTCCTCCTCCAGCTGCCCTGTCCTCTGCTGTGGTCTCCATGGTCTGGGACCCATCACCCCTGAGGTCTCACCTGCATGCAGATGTTGCAGGGGTCAACCCTGAGGTCTGTCCTCACTCAGGCCCTGATCACTGCCCTGCTTTGGAATGTTCACTGATGGGGTCTGGAGGCCTCAGGACTTCAGACTCCAAGACTCCAGCCACAGCAACATCACCTTGGTGACCCAGGAAAGCACTGCAAGTTGTTGCAAGAGTACTTTGGGACATAGCTTACCTCATTTCTGCCTCCTCCCTTCAAGAAACAGTTGGCCTGGCCTCCAACAAGGGCGGGGGTGTCACCTGTGCCTGCGCACTTCAGGAAAGGCGGAAATCTCTGCAGTTTCCAGCCACTTCCCTTGCTGTGGTGCCGTTGCAGTCTGGGAGCCACGTGAACAGAGGGGGACAGCGACTGCAGAGGATCTGGCTGAGATCACCATTTCCCACAGGAATTGGGCCTGGAACTCTGCAGGTTGAGTCCTGATCCAGAAAGAGCAAGCACCAGCCTTGGTGGGTGGGCTCCAAACTCACTCTGGGGGCAGGTTCTCAGGTGAGGGAGCCAGGCATGGTCAGCTCATGAGCCACTGAAACCACAGGGTGGAATGTGCCAGAGATCTCAGGAGAGTGGTTTAGGTACAGCCGGGCACCTGAGGAACTCCCAGAGCTAGGACAAGGCAGGACAAATCTTTGACAATATTGGTGTTATCAAGATTATTGTGAAACTCTGCTTGTTGGTGCAGAGGTGATGTTCATGTGACAGTGGAGAGTACTATGTTCCAGGGGCCTGTGCCTCATGACATGGGCTCTGGGTTCTGCCACTGCCTCACCTCACAGTCACTTGGGGTTGCAAATGTGAAAACAAATACAGGAAATCTCATGTAAAATAGAGTCGGGAAGCCCAGAAGCGGGGAGCTCTCATGCACTACCACTCCCCATAACTTGCAGACCTCAAACAGGAAAAAGTGCACCAACCATCCCCCAACAGGGAGAAATTCACTTTACAGACCTCAGCAAGAGGGAGGAAGAATTTCTCCTTGTCCAGCAATAGCCCAGCCAATGAGAAGCCACCACACTCAGCCACTGTCACCACCCTGAACTTTCATTCTCCTTCAATGAACTTCTGTTCCAAACAGCCCCTCTCAGCTTCCTCCTGTCGTCTCTAAGAGTGTTCTCCCTACCTGCGTGGGATTCACCAGTTTGCATGTCCTGAATTGCACTTTCTCTGCTATTCCCAAATAAACTCATTTTACTGGTAAAATAAGTGGCTCTTTTGATTTTAAGGTCGACACAAGAGAAAATTTCCAGAGTGGACAGGTGTTGCAGTTAAACATGTTTCCCAGCAAGGTGGCACTGAGTAGAGTTGACATGGGAAACTTAGGAGCTGGAAAGGGCCTCAAGACCTGCTCTGGGAAGACATGATGTCGATGCCCAAGGGTTAGATTAGGATGCGCCCAGGCACACTCAAGAAGGAACCTAAGGAGGTGGAAGGAAGTGTTGCATGCATAGCAAAGTTCAGGAGAGTTTCACATTCTCCTAGCATGTGAACACATGTGTGTTGTTTTCTATTCATTGTTTTTAGTATATTCACATACTAAGGGTAGTTGTGAGTTTTCCTGAATGTACAGTTACACCACCATCAGGATGGAGAACACTCCTTCACCCCAGAGGAACCCTCCCATGGTGCCCCTTGTGGTGAACCCTCCCACACTTACGAACTGATCTCTGATGGTCTGGACCTGAGGGTCATCACACTGACCATACATCAAGCTGTCATTTTAGCACCAACTGACAGTTGGCTCCAGCTGCAGACATTACAGACTATGCACGATTCTCTGAGAGTTGCCCCTTTGTGATAAAAGAAGTCTGGGGATCTGTTGCCTCAGAGTTACCTACAATAGAAATCAAAGTAACACTTGTCTCTACACATATGAAGGGCACACACAAAACCTCACCAGGACACTCCTTATCCACGTGGGAGTTCCAGACGCTGCTGATAGTAATGAAGGTTCCTATACCTTTGCCTTTTCCAGAATGTCAGATAGTGAAACACCATGTTGCCTGTGAGTCCTGTTTGGAAACTTTGATGTCACATTTGTAAAAGGGCATGACTATACAAAACTTACAGTGCTCTTGTGCGTTTGCAGTTTTTGACGTTGCCCAGCTGAAGGGCACACGTTATGCCTTCAAAACTAAGAGATTCCACTGTACTGACCTCTGTGATTTGGGTAAGACCTCATGTTTTACTTTCTTCACCTGCATCATGGGAGGAAAGACGGGGAAAGGGGATCAAATGAGGAACTAATGATTACAAAATCACATAATCTCTACACTGCTAAGAAAACACAAATCAGCACTAAAAAAAAGGAGGGGGAAGAAGTTTGGATTCCCATTGTTTAGTGAAGAAAAAGCTGTCACATTTTCCTCGTCTTCCATATCATCCCTTAGAAAAGTAAACATATGGAAATGATCCCAGAAACCAGCAAAAATGGCCTTTGGGGGCTTTGTGCATCACTGAACTGAAAACCTCCCAGCTACTCGTCTTATAAACAGGCAGAGAAAATATCCCAACTTGAGGATGTCAAATTTACCTCCTCTGCCACCACACAGGATATTACTCAAAATGATACAATACATAAGTCAATTTTTTCCTATACAGCCACACAAATATAGTTGAACTCACCTCTGACAAAGGACGAAAGGTATTCCATGGGAAAACATAGTCTTTTCAACAAATAATGCCAGAAATACTGGCAATCCACAGGCAAAAAAAAAAGATTCTAGACACAGACAATAAGAATCATAGATTCTTTTCATATTAAGAATCATAGATCTTAGTATAAAAAGTAAAATTACAATACTCTTAAAAGATAAAATAGGAGAAAATCTAGGTGACCTTGAGTTTGGTGACTAGTTTTCAGATACAACACCAAAAGCAAGTTCCAAGTAGAAGAAATGTTTGACTTCATTAAATGACAAGCTTCCACTTAGTGAAACATGGTGTTCAGAGAATGAAAACACAAGCCACATACTAGCATAAAAGCTTTGAAATTCACTTATCTGACAAAGACTGGTACCCAAAACATCCAAAGAACTCTTACAACTCAACAAACAGAAGACAAACAACCCAGTTACAAATGTGCAAAAGATTTGAATACACACTGCAGCAATGATATACAGATAGTAAATAAGCACATGAAAACATGCTCAAAATCAGGTCACTAGGAAACTACAAACAAAAGGAGACATCAACAGATACATATTACAACGGCTGAAATTGAAAACACTGAGGACACTGAACAACAGTGAAGATGGAGAGGAACAGGAAGCCTCATTCACTGCTGGTGGGAATGGAGAATGGAATGCCTACTTTGGGAGAAAGGCAGTTTCTTAAAACTAACCCTACACTGACCACACGATGCAGCAATCATGTTCTTCAAACTTATCCAGATGAGTTGAAAACCCATGTTCACAAAACCCTGCACATGAATATGTTTGAGACCTTTATGCATAATTGTTAAGACCTAGATGTAACCAGGATAATTCCAATAGGCGAATGGAGAAACAATCATGGGTCCAACCATAGGATAAAACATTCTTCAGTGATGAACAGAAATGACGTTATCAAGCCAAAAAGACATGAAGAAATTTAAAAATCATATTTCTAAGTGAAGGAAGCCAATACGACAAGGCTACACACTGTATGATTTCAAGCATGTGACATTGTGCAGAATATAAGAAGTATAAGGCACTGTGAGCCAGCGCTGATGGCCTAGCAGTTAAAGTTTGGCACGCTCCACTTCGGTGGCGTGGGTTTGGTTCCCAGGCACGAAACCACACCACGCATCTGCCATGCTGTGGTGGCAGCTCACACAGAAGAACTAGAAGGACTTTATAACTAAAATATACAACTATGTACTTGGGCTTTGGGGAGAAAAAATGAAAGAAAGATTTGCAACAGATGTTAGCTCAGAGCACATCTTTCACAGCAAAAAAAAGAAAGCGTAAGACACTGAAAGATCAGTGGTTCGTAGGGAATTGGGGGTGGGAGGGAGGGAAGACTGAATAGATGGAGCAGAGAAGATTTTTAGGACACTGTATGTATCCCATATGACACAGAAATGATGGAGACACGTCATCTGACATTAGCCAAAGCCCGGAAATTATATAACACAGAGTCAACACTAATGTAAACCATGAACTTTCATGTATCAAATTGGCTCATCTAATATACCACACTCATGCAATATACAAAATACAGGGCAAACTGTGTGGAGCAGAGGAATTATGTGGGAAATCTCTGCACTTTTCGATCAGGTTTTCTGTATACCTAAAACGGCTCTTAAAAAAGCTAAAGTCTAATAGGAAAAAACAGACAGACAGATATATTAGTATTATATTAGTATTCACCCCTGATGACTGATGCATTACAGAACCAGACCAACTTTCATCCCTATTAATTTGAACTTACTGCAATAAGCCATAATGATGCTCTACGACGCCTGCATCCTGAGACATGGAAGACAGGAGAAACTTCCACTGAATGCCTTGTTAAGAGCTCAGCGCTGTATATTCTGAGAAGTGAAATGAGCGCCTTCATTACTATCAGCAGCGTCTGGAACTCCCACGTGGATAAGGAGTGTCCTGGTGAGGTTTTGTGTGTGCCCTTCATATGTGTAGAGACAAGTGTTACTTTGATTTCTATTGTAGGTAACTCTGAGGCAACAGATCCCCAGACTTCTTTTATCACAAAGGGGCAACTCTCAGAGAATCGTGCATAGTCTGTAATGTCTGCAGCTGGAGCCAACTGTCAGTTGGTGCTAAAATAACAGCTTGATGTATGGTCAGTGTGATGACCCTCGGGTCCACACCATCAAAGATGTCTCACTTAAGACATGAAAAGCCACAATTCCACCTGAGCTCCCTCATGTACAAAGGTGGTGATGTCATCCCTAAAGTCTATGGACTCCCACTGCTTTTCTCTCAGGGAGCCCTAAGATATCTGGTTGAAGTCCTTCAACACCATGACACCTGGCAGGAGACTGAGGACAGGGAAGACCACCCCCTCCTGCAGGCAGGATATCCCAGAGGGCCCAGGTTTGGCTCCACCAGGTCTCCAGGGGGTCTCAGTAGCCATGCTGAGCTCCTGGACGGCTGCTTCCACGTCCCAAGTCCAAATGGACCGCTGGATATGTGGTCCCAAGCTCAGGGCCATCTACTGTTAGGACAGCATTGTAAGCAGAGGTCACTGCAGCTCTAAGGGCATGTAGCGTGGGGCCTGGGGCAGGTTCTAGCATCAGAAGACTATGGACAACTTATGGCCACCATGGGTACCCCAGGAGGCATGACAGAAGGTCAGAGGCCTCTATAGTGAAGGAGTCTCTGAGGGCACTAACAGGAGTGTTGGTAGTATGACAATTTGAAGAGTCTCCAGACTTTTGTGGTAGGGGAGCCCATTCAAAGTGGCAAATTTGCAAGGAACAGCACAAATGAAGTCAAGTAAAATTTGTAAACAAGAAATATGTTACTTCTGGAACAACCGAAAACCCTAGCTGTTGTGGGTGCTGAGGGGAACAGCAGCTATTTCTTCATGGTCTCAGAGAAGGCGCGGGTCTCAGGTTATCAAATAATTTTCAGAAGTTTAAACAAGCTTTCAGGGCCTCACAGGGGTGAACAGTAATTTCCCATCCACTTCTTGTGGGCTCTTTTTTCAATATTTGTATGTCCTCAGACATGTCAGTAATGTAACATCGTCCCTCTGTTCTTGGAGAAACCATGATGAGTTCAGACCCCCCCTGCAAGGACTGTGGGAGGGAACAGCTGTGGAAGATCCATGAGGACAACCCAGTAAAGGGGCATCATGTCCCTTCAGAGGGAAGGCCAAGTGCAGCTGAGAGGCTGTGGACACAGGACTGGACAAGCAGACTCAGCCAAACCTGTGAGAGCAGGATATTTATCCACTGCTGATTTGGTATAGTCAGTAATTTCCACACTGTGGGGACCATGAACAGAGGTCTGTGCGTGCAAACAGCCTCAAGCCGAGGTAAATCACTCTCAAGTGTCATTCGTTCTTTCCAGGTTTAATTACAGGACAAATGGGGGTGTTAAAAGAAGCACTGGGAGTAAGCAGCCTGTCACTAACTAGGTCTTCCAGACAGGTTTCAATCCCTCAAAGCCTTGTGTAATTTATGTTGGGCCATAGTGACTACGTTCTTTGTGGAGTAAGGTCCCTGGGTCCCAATCTGACAAGCCAGTTTGTAAGCGGCAAGGACTTCATTTGAACTCTTGCTCATTGGCTCAGAGGTTCCCACCTCACTATGGGATATTTTAGGACAATGGGTGTTATGACCATGGAGAATTTAGGCAAGACCATAGTTCTGACGGCTAAAGATGAAACACTTGCCCTATTTGTCCTCCATATTGTATTCATTAACACCCCTAAGATCATCAGGGGCACCATCCTTAAACTTAGCAGGATCCCAGGTATAACTGTCATATGACACCTAGTGTTGATTAACTGCTTGAAGGTGTCGAATTAGTGCATCACATCAGATAGTAAAATTAATTCAGAACCCATGGTGTAGACGCCCAAAAGTCAAGCAGTGTACCTCCATCTGTTTTGTTGTGTAAATTCTTCAGCATATTTTGGATTTTCAGTTCGCTCAAATAGTGGATCTTTGTTTCAGTATTTTATCTTTGTTTCCTCACTCCTTTCCTGTTTTGTTTTCTTCGTCACGGGATACACTTCAGGGGAGGGAGTAGTTCTCTTCCCTGGTATTTATAAATTTGTTTCCACCCAAGAACCTCAAAGCAGTACCATCAGGGTTAGGAGCCTCCCCCGTGGCAACTGGTTGCTTTATAGGGTTAAACCCTGGGTTTAAGCCAGGTTTGAACTAACGCCTTGTGCTACAGGGGTGCCATGAGTGTTGTCCCCTGTAACCCTGAAGGTTAGGGTCTTTGTGGCAGTAGAGGCAGGGGCAGCAGCAGAGGTACTGAAGGGGCCTGGGGAGCCCTCTGGTGTCAGGAGCGTGGACTCAGCCTGCCACCTGCCGCCTGCCTTTGCCCCCTCTTCTCGTTTTTTTCAAATGACAGCTCTTTCAGGAGTTACGATCTGATGGACCCACGTCTTGCAAAGGGTATAGTCCCTGTCTACACCCCCTTCCCTGAGGTATGTCAGCCCAACACAGATTCTGTCACAGCTTCACTCTTAACACAGATCAATACTGGCAGAGACACTGACCCAGGACTCATTTAGGGAGGCCTCAATCCCAGTCTTTCTCCCAAATGCCTTTAAAATCTTGAAACTGCCAACTCTGCTCAGCTTCATCTAGAATTGAGGCTTTGTAGAGTCCACAATGCAACACGGAGCGGCACAGCTCACAGCCCAGCTCCCCAGCAAGCAGCAGCCCACAGTGTATGCCTCCACCAGGCAGCAGCGCAGGGGAGCAAGTCAGAGCCAGAGAAGACAGACCCACGGGTGGAGTCATGTCTGGACATGCTGCTCAGGGCGCGAACTGTCATGGTCACCTGCAGAGGGGTGGTTCCCTTGTTGACACTGATGCCAGGGTGGTGTGCGCGCGCGCACACACACACACACACACAGGGTAGGAAAAGGCTCAGGACTCACATAACAGAGGTCTGAGAAGAGGGCAGGGCCGGCCTCTCAAGCAGCTCTGACAGGGCTCAGAAAGCAAGGAATGGAGTCTGGCCTGGGGGTTCACTGGGCCTGGGGGTGGGGCCGGGGCAAGAGCTCCACACACAGGCAGGGGCTGGTGTGGTGGGAATCTCCTGCCTGCTCTAGAGGAGAGAGCACCCAGGCTTCTCCTCAGCTTGTCCAGGTGGGGGCACAAGGGGAGGAGGGTGGGTGGGGCTTAAGCTGTGAGCAGTCACCCAAAATGTGGAGTCTGACTGCTCACTACGAGGACAAATGTGGGTAAAAAATATGCATTCTCAACTGATTTATGCAGAGATACTGTAAGGAGGCTCAAAAATAATCAAAACTGGGGCCGGCCCGGTGGCACGGCAGTTACGTGCGCACACTCTGCTTCAGCGGCCCGGGGTTCTCCGGTTCGGATCCCTGGTGTGGACATGGAACCGCCTGGCAAGCCATGCTGTGGCAGGCGTCCCACATAGAAAATACAGGAAGATGGGCACGGATGTTAGCTCAGGGCCAGTCTTCCTCAGCAAAAAGAGGGAGATTGGTGGCAGATGTTAGCTCAGGCTAATCTTCCCCAAAAAGGAAAATAATAATAATAATAAAAAAAATAAAAAGTTAACTGACTTTAAAAAATTTAAAAATTTTGAAAAATAATCAAAACTGTGTATTAGGGGGTGACTTGAGTAACAGTGATGGAGGGGACCAGGAAATGCTGGCAGCGAGCCTTCTTAAGTTAGACTTTGCTGTCTTCAAGATTTTCTTCAAATAAAGAAATATAATTTTAACTCTTGTACATAGGAAACCATTCTAAGATTTAATTCCTTTAAACACTAACAGTTACAAAATTGTAAACCATACAAAATAAAACTTTCAAATCTCTTTCTTACTAAAAGGACATGCGGCATCCTAGTTTGTCCATCCTCTACATCTCACATTGGGGTATTTTCAAACATTAAGTGGCATAATGCAATCAAGGTTTGAGTTTAACCCCTTAAACGTATCGGGTTTTCAAACATATACATAGCTTTCATAAGTTTTCCTTACACCAATTAAAGTAGAAATTTAATTACTTAAGCCTTTTAAATTTCTCTGTTACTAGAGAAATGCACATAGAAAAACTTGTCCAAAAATGACAAACATTTCTTGCTCTCCTCACATCCTATCTCTCCATCAACTTACAGTTTCAGCCCCAAGTGCTAAGGGAAACTAGAGCCAAAGGGCTGCCCTAGTCCATCGACAGAGGAATCCACAGGGAAGTAACACAAATACTGGAATCAGCTCAGACGAGCAGCCTGCTTCCCACAGGACAGAAGGAAAGCCACGGTCAGAGGTCCCGAGTTCCTGACTCTCCTGGTGGAGACAGAGCCCTGGAGGGGGTCAGTCCCTGGAGAAGGAGGGGAGGGCACCTGAGCAGCCACAGGAAGGAGCTCTGGGAGCCCCACACACCCTCCCCTCCCCAGGGAACAGTGCACATGCTCCCTCTCTCAGGCTCCATTCTCACAGTGAGGAAACTCAGCTGGATCCAGTTTAAGGTTCTGACCCAAATGGACCCCAGATTAATGGGCCCTAATCCAGGACACAGAGCTCCTGACTCTCACAGACTTTCTCTGTGTAAACAAATTACTCTCTGAGTGCACCCATACTGTGGATGCACAACTCCAGTTATGTCTAGAAACAGACCCAAGGGAACCACAGTGACAACCTCAGAAAGGAAGTGACTCCCCACCCCATGAGCATGTGCACCCCAGCTTTCCAGGGCTCTGCAGCTCCTCTCAGGATAAAGGCTTCTTCCATGGGGGTGTGAGCAGTAAGACACCCGCAAGGGGAGGCTCCCCAGGAAGAAGAGCTGGGCCTTCAAGGCCTTCCCTCTGCAGGCTCAAGGGGGCCTCAGCTTAGACTCACTGCCCTCAGTCTTCTGTCCCACTGGATTTTTTTTGGCCCACCACTGATATTTTAAATGACACAAACTCAGTGTTTGAACAATCCAGCTAAAACACTCAAATTAGTCTTTATGCCTAAATGAGCGAAGAAAATTGTATTGCATGTTGTTGGCTCAACAAAAACTTCACAAGGACGTACTGCATTCTGGGAAAAAAAGATGTTAATATACTATTTTTATACTTGTATTTTCATTATAAGACACTATTTATAAACTAGTAATCATACATGAACACTTCAAATCTACAAGTCTAAACCCTGGAAATCCATTTTAACTCACCCAAGATAAAAGAACAGACCCCAGAATATTACTATCCAGAAGGGAAGAAAAAAAGGAAAGGATTAGTACATGCAATGTACAACTGGAATATGTTATTTTTTCTGAAATTCATCTCTTTCTTCCCTCTTTGGTAATGCCTTATATTGTGTTTCGAGTCGTATCGACTAAATAAGTTTTTACTTACTGAAAAACTGAAACTAAAATAAAGTAAGTCTTTCAAAGGTGACCAACTCAGGTAGGAACAGTGCTGACAGGACAGATCATCCAGAGAAGCTTCTTAAGAAAAACCTCCACCCAAAAGACGTGCCCTAGGATGTCTGTGCCCAGCAAGATCCTGGGGGAGACACACAAGGATTTCATACAATGTAGTTCCAGGTGGTTATGGGCTGCTTTTTACTCATGGAAAACATCCACACACAAAATAAATCCTTTAAAAGCAGCCATCCAGTGACTGGGAGAAAATGATAAACAATTAAATATTGGATCTGTTTGAAATCCAACAAGGAGAACAAATAGTTGACGACAATGCTGTTAATCAAAGGAAGGACGTTGGCATTTGGGAATTTGGGGAGAGACTGGATATTTAGGCATTTGCTGTCAGCCCTAAAAAGACCTAGGCTGGGGAGACAGGGTTGTGGATTTCAGACGCTGCTCCCCAAATACGTGGAATACTCAGGAAAAAACGGGTGCCTCCTGGAGAGAAAAGAAAGACTGGGGACCCCACAGACCGCAGCCCCTCCGGGCACGGACCCCGGAGCCCGAGGCCCGACTGTCCTGAGGACCCTCCCGCGGGCCCCGCACCTTCTGGGACACGCGGGGCTGCGGCCGCACAGCGGCCCAGAGACGCTCCGGCCCCAGTCGCCGCGCGCAGGGACCACAGGACGCCCGGGGCCCAGCTGCCGGCCCCGCCCCCACGCTGCGGCCGGAGGGGCCTGAGGGCCGAGCGGCGCCACCGCGGACTCGGGGCCGCAGAGCCCGGAGGGGACCGCGGGAGGCCGGGCCCGCCCCGCCGCTTCCCACCAGCCCCTCCTCCCGTGTCCTCACGCCTGGGGCCGCACACTCACCATTTCTAGGGCTCCTGGGTTACCTGAGTCCTTCCTACGACCCCCACGGCCAGTGCAGGTCACAGCGCGACAGAGGCTGCCGCACAGCCACCAGGGACTGTTAATGGGAGACGACAACAAATCCCAAGCACACCAGGAGGGAAAAAGGAAGTCCACGTTGGGAGAGACATTCCTCCCCCAAAATTTGACTCTGGGCCCCAAAATCTCACCATTTCTAGTTTTCCTGGGTCCCCCCGAAGTCCTTCCTATGACTCCCGAGGTGGGTACAGGTCTCAACTCGACAAAACAGGCAACAGAACCACGTGGAGCCTTAAATGGCGGGGAGACGGTCCGCAGCGTGGCTGGAGCAGCAACAACTTCCGGGGGGTTGGGACGCTTCGCCCCACCCACCTACTCCGTCCCCGCCTCTGAATGGACAGTTCAAAAGACCCTGTTGTGACTGAGTGACAGCCTCCTGAGTTTAGGTGTCTAAGCAGAACGCCAGACAGAACTCCTCCTCTTCAGGGGCAATTGTGTTAAAACCTAGTGGTGGGAGGTGACTTGTTGAAGTGTGATCGTTCTTTACAAATACACACAATTAAAAGTCACCTCACCATATGCAATAATTAGTCTCTCTCCGTTTTCATCTTTGTTGACAACTAGAGCATGACCTAGTGGCCCCAAATATGTACATAGGCACAGTTACCGTGACCAGGGAACTAGGAAAAGAAAGGAGTACTGAGGATCTGATAGAAACTGACATTTTCTGTTGAGTGTTTTGCAGACAGAAAATTTCAGGACGAGCCTAACCACAGGAGGTTCCCACAAGCAAGATAACTGAAGCGGTTCTAGCTGCCTCAAACTGATCTTAGGTGAATTGAACCGTCTCCATTATGATCTCATTAACAATTTAAATTCTCCTCCTCTGGGAGAGACCAAGCAGCTGTTTCTGGGTCATGTGATGTATGTAGTAGCATGTGCACATCTACCCATGAGCCTTAAAGGAACGTGACGGTTACGCAATAAACCCTGATCTCCTGCCTTTTCCTTAACTGAATATTCATGAACTGTACTATGATCTCACAATAGAAGGACCCCGCAAACCCTTGTTTGGGGAGCCACTGCTTTGGGAGAGACCCTCAGTGTTCTCCATTGCTTGTGCTAGTAATAAAACTTTCTTCGCCTACTCCTGCCGTCTTCATGTTTTTGGCTCTGCACTCACCAAGAGAGGAGCCCATTGTGTTCAGTTACAACACCAGGGGTGCATTAGGTGGCGTCCTTCCAACACTTCAGTCAGATTCAGAACAAGAGCATTGGGAGCAAAAACAAGCTATCATTTCTGAAGAACACTGACTTCTGGGTATTCAGAATGGTTAACTTTAGAAAATGTTTCTGACATGAAAATATTTGTATTCCATGGAAAATATAAGAAGGGACTCTTTCTCACTGGTGGTCAAGTCACTCTCTGTGGTCATGATCTGCCCCTTACCTGTGGTTACACTATTTAATCCATCTATGAGGAGACATTGATGAGGATGGAGGCTGCCCCAGGGAGAGAAGCCCAAGGCGTCCTGCCCTGCATACCAATCTGTATCATCCTCGGGAAGCACAGGACATCCTGACCTGATCCAGTCTGATTCATATCCAAAGTTACAGGACCACCCAATAACCAGACCCCACCTGCACTGAGACCATTTTAACGACTTTCTTACATATTCTTTCCTTTGTCTTCTAAAGACATAACTCATGTACCTATGCCTTATAAATTTAGCCCTACCCTCAACCCATGTTTGTAGCTCTTTACTGCCCATGAGTCCTGTCCCCATGCTACTCCGTGCTAGTCTCTGAATAAAGGAACACTACTGCCAGAAGTTGAGAGTCCAGAAAATCTTTCTTTTGACTCCTCGGCTCACCGAGCCCACATCAACATCAGAAAATTGAGTTTCGGGGCCTGCCTGGTGGCCCAGCAGTTAAGTTCGCACGTTTCACTTCTCAGTGGCCCAGGGTTCACCGGTTCGGATCCCGGGTGCAGACGTGGCACCGCTGGGCACACCATGCTGTGGTAGCCATCCCACACATAACGACATATAGGAAGATGGGCATGGGTGTTAGCTCAGGGCCAGTCTTCCTCAGCAAAAAAAAAAAGAGGAGGATTGGCAGCAGGCAACTCAGGGCTGATTTTCCTCAAAAAAAATAAATAAATAAAAATGCATTAAAACAAAGAAAACTGAATTTCATCCAAATAATTATCTCACTGACTGGTGAGTCTATGACGCTAGAGAGCAATGTTCAGTCTGACAATGTAGGAATCACTTGCAAGTTGTAACCTTGCGTGTCAAGGAAACATTGGGTCATCTGCAGTGTAAAATGTTCTAAATTCCATTGAGGGAAATTCTACTTTATAAGGCATTATAAAGATGATGATGAGCATGATAGTAGAATAGTAACAGGAATGCTGACACTAATAATAAAGGCACATTGGCGAGGCTTACTGAGTGTGAGGCACGGCACTCAGCACCTTAGTGGGACTGGCTCATTGCTTTTCATCTGCACAGACTTCTAACAGGGAAGCACTAGCATGATCCTATTTGATAAGAGAGGAACTGAGACTTAGGGGAGGTGAGTGACGTGTCTGACTTCACACAGGTGGTCAGGAGGGGGCTCGATTCATCACCAGGCTGCCTGACTCAGACCAAGCTTTGCCACCAAGCACACTTCACCTCTTCTTATGAAATTAGGACAAATGGTTCATTAACTAGGATGGACCTTCTGTGGGAATTAGAAACAACTTTGTTCTTCCGAACTAGCATTACTAAAGTCTCCACTATAAGGGGCTGGCCCCGTGGCCGAGTGGTTAAGTTCGCGCGCTCCGCTGCAGGCGGCCCAGTGTTTCGTTGGTTTGAATCCTGGGCGCGGACATGGCACTGCTCATCAAACCACGCTGAGGCAGCGTCCCACATGCCACAATGAGAAGGACCCACAATGAAGAATATACAACTATGTACCGGGGGGCTTTGGGGAGAAAAAGGAAAAAAATAAAATCTTAAAAAAAATCAATAAATAAAGTCTCCACTATGGAATAGATTGTCCTTGCCCTTGGTTGAAATCTAGAGATGGTGCCACAGTACTTTTACTCACTTTTTGGTGCTAAAATCCTGTGGTCACAGTCAGGTACAGTGACTGCCAGGGCAGCCTGGTTCTCATAGAAGATGTTTGGGAGAAGGCCATGAAGAGGAGCTGCCGTGTGAGAGGCAGCCCATCGAAAGGAGGAGGCAACTTCAACAACAGCCAAAGATGTTTCTTTTGACTCCAAGTATTTATCACTGCTTTCATCTATAACTTCATGTCAGAAAACACGATAATCAATCTGATGTATAAGATCGAAGAAGCATATATTGTTATTGGAGATTAGAGTATCACTTATTTGACAAGCTAAAGATAAAATAACAGGAAAATTACTACAACTGACGAAAGAGTCAATTTTCTAAACATTGTGTAAATACACACATTATACATAACACATATTATTGAATTTAAATGATATGTACTGCATATTATATCTGAAGTTTTGAGGTTTAGGGCGAACACCAAGTTGAGATCTTTGTGCAAACAAGTCTGAGTGTTTCTTGATGAGGTGACAGAGGCATCACCTCTATGGAAATATAATCAATTTTGGTGCATGGAAGACTCCTGAAGTCAAAGATGCAGCTCTCTCTACACACTGCCACATCCTTAAAGACATTTCCATTCAAATTTGCACCAGGATCTGCGTTTCTGCCTCATAACACAATAATTATGAGGTAAGTCTCTGAAAATGAGTCCAAAGGCTATTCAGGGTATTATTGCAAATAAAGAATGATGAAGAACAAGTTTCAGCAGATGAACCAATTACAAAAATTCATGAGGAGTGAGGGCCGGCCTGGTGGTGCAGCAGTCAAGTGCTCATGTTTCTGCTTCACTGGCCCAGGGTTTGCCGGTTCGGATCCTGGGTGCAGACACAGCACTGCTTGGTAAGCCATGTTGTGGTAGGCGTCCCACATATAAAGTAGAGGAAGATGGGCACGGATGCTAGCTCAGGGCCAGTCTTCCTCAGCAAAAAGAGGAGGAGTGGCAGCAGATGTTAGCTCAGGGCTAATCTTCCTCAAAAAAAAAAAATTCATAAGGAGTGATAATTTAATGGTCTGTTGCCACCATAAGAATTGACCAGTTAAAATTGCAGAGATAAATTCTACCATGGGGTGATTTTTGCCTCTCAGGGAACATTTGTTGATATCTGGGGGCATTTCAGGCTGTCATGACTATGGGAGGTGGGGAGCACTGCTACAGACATCTAGCGATCCTGTGATGCACAGAATAGTCCCCTTGACAAAGAGTATTATCTTGTTGAAAATGTCAGTAGTTTCAGTGTTGAGAAACTGGACTAATCATATGAACCCTCGATGGTCTATAAACACACACGAGAATGGAACAAAATAGATGATGAATTGTGGGAATCTGTAACTCTCCTGTCTACTACATCCAAATAAATTCCATACGGAATAAAGAATCAAAGATAAAATGAAAATACTGAAAGTAAACATCAGAAAGTATCTCTATGTATTAGGCAGTGGAAGTTATGATATCCCAAGAAAAATGTAAAGTTAGATTTGATAAACTAAAAAATGTAAACATATTGTTGATAATAATAAAAGATAGAAACACCACCTGGGAAAATGTTTTCAATAAAAATATAGAGAGGGGGCTGGCCCAGTGGGGCAGCGATTAAGTTTGCATGTTCCACTTTGGCGGCCCAGGGTTCACCGGTTCTGATCCCAGGTGCAGACCTACACACCACTTGACAAGCCATGCTGTGGCAGGCCTTCCACATAAAATAGAGGAAGATGGGCATAGATGTTAGCTCAGGGCCAGTCTTCCTCAGCAAAAAGAGGAAGATTTGCAGCAGGTGTTAGCTCAGGGCTAATCTTCCTCAAAAAAGAAAAGGAAAAAGAAAAAGAAAAAAAGATATATATATATAGAGAGAAAGATATCACTAACAGTTTAAATAGCTCAGTAATCAAAAACAAATATGAATGTTCCAATAAAGACGTTCTAAGGCCATGCCCAAATCTTACAAAAATTATGATTTATAAATGCCTAACAAATATATTAAAAGAGATTAGCTCATTAGGCCCAAGATATATAATGAAAATACATGTACTTGTTAATGTGCAAAATACATATGTTGACTTCCTACCCCTTTTAGTGAGGCATACTCTGGTGGGAAAGGCCAAGTGGGTGCTTCTTGATCTGTTCCCCAACCAAGATGGTAACCCAGAGGTAACCCCTTATCCATGGAGGAGCTGCAGAGATAAGTTCTATCACAAAAGCCCTGAGATATACGAGGGCATTTTTTATCACCTTCTTCTTTAATTTGCATGTTTGTTTCTTAGAAAACTATGGAGAGTGAGTTCAGAATATCATGATCATACAGAGGTTGGAGTGTCCATTAGAGCTGTTTTCCAAACGTGGAATCATTACTGGGGCACATGATCAAGGCTTGTGGCATCTAGTATGCAACTTCTTGCACATTCTTAGACACCAGAACACATATTCTTTTCAAACAGACATGGACCTTTCTCTAGGCTAGATCAAATCCTCACCATAA